CTACCCTTTGGGTGCGCACAGGGTAAAACCCCCGCTCCTATGCAATAGCTCGCAAACCACATAGAAGAGGTAACCCGCACTAGGCAAGCCTGGTGCGACGAGCTCGACCCAGAAGGCAAACCCCTTGCTTTCGCTGGCAAGGGGTTTCGAACTTGAGACCTCCAACATGGAAGTCCCAAGCCCAAACCACTGGGCCACCCCGAAGGGTTTTGATACGCTCAAATTACACCTCCCTAAAGAAGTATAAGCGATCATTATCAAGTAAAGAACCCAACTTGGAGGTTGGGGTCGATCCCACGAGGAATATGGTTTAGACTTAAACTTAACCCACGATTATATTCGTTTAGTAAACGTATTTCCGAGACAAGTAAGTAAAGGGGGGGGGGGTTTGTGAAACAAATAATTGATTGTTGTTTAGAGAACAAGTAAGCAAGATTCAAACTTTGTTGTTATAAATGAGAGAGAGAAACTAGGGTGTACGTGTTCCCCATAAGCTCATAACGCGGTAATCCTAGTAATAGCAAATCATTTCCTAGTGTATTACATGCAAAGTGATACATTATATATCTCTAATTCCTTGGTCCAGCAACTAGAGAATTTCACTCCGCACCTTGGTCCGGCTATGTGTGTATGATTTACTAACCCTTACCTTTACCTCATATTAGACATCACATCAATGTATGACTTAGTTTTCACCCTCGCACCAATTGACATTAGACTATTAGATAGTATCACACTAAATCTATGTTGATAATTCTTTTCTTATTAACTACCTCCTTGGTCTGGCAAGTAGCAACAAGGCGAAATCTAACGTTGGCCACCGCTAAAAAGACTTTTAAACGAAAGAATTATCAATGCATGCAACAACACTATTCAAAAATTACTTAGCTACTATTCATACTTTGTTAATCGCTCATGGTTCTCACAACTCTAGTTGTGGATTTAGTTACCCATAGTAGCAAGAACACAATTCATATTTTTAGATGAAGAAATCATGAACTTACGTAATAAGTAGAAGAAACCCAGAATCTCAACTTGAATTTCAACGTAAAAATCTTCAAAACCAACTTAGGAAATCAAGAATTGCTAAAGTTGCAAGTTAATCTCCAAAGCCAAAAACTAGAATTAAAGTAATAGTGTCTAACCCCCAAAAACGAGGTTTACATGCCCTCTATATAGAAAAACAAGTCCCAAATAAAAAGGAAACGAAATAAGGAAATAAAGTTTCTGGATGCGGTTGCCATTGATGAGACTGACCTACGGACCGTGGTCTGACCTACGGTCCGTAGGTCCCTTTCGTGGTTTGGGACTTGGGCAAATTTTCAGAAGCTCGGAACTCCACTTCTTAGACATGAATGACGGCTTAACAGCACGGACCGCGACTCGATCCACGGTCCGTGGATACCCCTCCGTAGTCTCATACTTAGCTTCTTAAAATCAGGTACTGGAACATCTCTTCTAAATCAGATGACGGACGTGCAGGATGGCCCGTAGGTCGACCTATGGTCCGTCAGTCATAGTCGTGGTTCCACACTTGGTCAAGAATTCCCTAATTTTTCCTTCCAGCCTTCCCCATCGATCTACGCCCTTCACCTACGGACTGTGACTGGACCTACGGTCCGTAAGCCACGTCCGTAGGTGGCCTTTTCTGCAACATTTCTTCAACTGTCTCACTAACTCCCACATCCGAACTTATTTCCTGCAAACAAGGTAAAAACACATTAATACTAATACAAAATGGCTTTAGACACACACAACTCATAAGTGAAATGTATTAAAGATACCGTAAATTCACGGTATATCAAACTTCTAGCTATATATGCATGCACCTTTAGTTGATGTGCCTGTTGACACATGCTTTAAAAATTTTATGTGTCTCAAGTCGAGTTGCTGGGACTGGGGATATAATTTGTGTCTTATAATAAATTGAAAACTTATAATGAACGAGGTTCATTTTCTAGATTCTGATGGAGATGTGGTTGATTGATTCGTTGACGGTAAGTTTCTAGCTATAAGATAAAGGTGGGCTGTTTAGATGTATATTTACTCTTAGCTAAGAGTGTTGAATAGAAATGTTAGGTTGATTTAGGTAGAAAAATTGGTTGAATCAATGAATGGGTTAATGACTCTATTTCTTTGAAGTCTGTTTAGGTCGAAATGAGTTAGATCAAGATGGGTTGACTAGCGGCTTATAGTCCAAACCGCCTAACTCAACACTACTGTTCTATTTGCTTATGTTTTTCTAGTTTATAGCTGTAAAGTTGAGTTGCTTAAAAATGCTTCATTGTGCAATAAAGTAAAAATATATATTTCATCAAAGCCATTTGTTTGTCCATTTTTTTTTTGGAGACAATGTGATGTGACAAAGGTCCAGGATTATATGGGTCAGTAACTAGCCCATGTTGACCCAGTCTTCTTGATGTGTTAATTTGAGTTGACCTAATTTAACCCTTGAATGATCATGTCACTCACCCAACCTATTGAAGTTTGCTGAATTGACAGGTTACACTTTTATGGTTTTAAATTGGCAATCTGCTGTTTGTACTGGTCTTTGTTATCTCACATTCAAACGAACCTAAAATATGAACCTCGTTCAGTGAACTGTGCGGGAACTATTAATAGGAACAACAAACTTTGGGAAGTGCCAGCTGAAGAGTTTGATTCTGTCATTGATACTAACCTGAAAGGAACTGCAAATGTTCTGCGTCACTTTATTCCCCTAATGCTTGAGAAGAAGCAAGGAGTGATCGTAAATATGTCTTCTGGATGGGGAAGATCTGGTGCGGCACAGGTAAAACTCAGTTTCTACTGAAATCACCAAAACTTTATCCATAAGTTCTCGTAGTTCTATTCTAGTCTGTTAGTCATATTGCTGATGATTTACCAAAATGATGGTTCTTGTTGCCAGCTGTGCATCAGATCTCATATTTTATGTCCCTAGTAACTGAGGGATTTCAAAGTATGTAAAGAGTTGATGAACTAAATTTTGCTGTATAATCTCTGTGACATTTGAGAACATTTGCACTAGATGATTTGTAGTGACCATGGAACTCAAGCATGACTCTTTAAGCATTTAAGAACCTAAGTTGCATTTGTTTTTGGGTCTTAAATGTGAACTTTAAACTGGCACTTCAAGATTTGGAAGTTAACGAGGAAGAAACTTAATGTATGTAGGATTACGAGATACAAATGGATGATGAAAAAGCCTATTATTTGGATTTCCATTGCTAGCTTATATCACTAATGTTGAGACCTGGTTATTAAATTTTCACAGGTGGCACCCTATTGTGCTTCAAAATGGGCGATTGAAGGTTTGACAGCATCAGTTGCGAAGGAGTTGCCCGCTGGAATGGCAGCTGTTGCACTTAATCCTGGTGTCATTTACACGGACATGCTTCAGTCATGCTTTGGCAATTCAGCATCCCTATACCAGACACCTGAGTCATGGTACTTCATGCCTTTCACTTCACCCTCCCCTCCTCAAACTTGTCAAGAACTAAGAACTACTTCTATACGATTGCTTTGGCTGTTTGAATGCAATTTCAACTTCTTAATACAATTGGTATTTGGGGTTTGTCTTGGAATGTTTCACTTCAGGCTTCAAGTTTGAAGTTATTGCATTTGCTTCAAGATGAATTTCATATTCCTCTGGAAGTTTGCTTATGTCTAAAATCCTTCTACCTTGTCAGGGCTCCAAAGGCGGCTAATATGATACTAAATCTAACCATGGCTGATAATGGAGCATCTCTTTCGGTGTAAGTTTACACAGTAACGTGACAGACTAGCTTTAGCAGGCAGCAGAATGATGGAAACCACCAGTTTTTACCTTCTCTGAGTGTGATATCTTCTTCTCCCCAGAGTTGTCTTATGTTTTTGTGAGTTTAGGAAATTTGAAACATTTGTAATGTTTTGACAACTTCAATAGGGAGTCAAAGGGAGTTTAGGCTTAGGTAAATTCTTTTTTGTCTATTTGTTTGATAAAGTTGATAATGTATCAGTTGGTCATCCTCCTATGAATATGATCCATAACATAACCAGATTTGCCTAATAACTAGTACTTGATCCCTGTAGTTACTGCCACACTGCTATAATCTCCATTCCCAATGTTGTTTTTGGGATATAATTATGAGGTGCATTCTTTCATTCAACAAAGTCTATATATAATTTGTTGGCCAACATCACATCTATCAATTATATGAGCTTATCTTAAACTCATACTCCCTCTGTCTCACTTTATATGACGTGTACTTTTTTTTTAGTCAGTTTTAAAATAAATGACACATTTCTATATTTAATAGTTTTAACAATTTAACTTTAAAATATCTATTTTATCTTTAATGATAATTAATAATGAAATGATTTCTTGCCACACAAATACTATCTCCATTCACTTTTAATTGTCATAGTTTCTTTTTTTTAGAGTTAAACTATAAAAACTTTGACTAACATTTTATAATGTATTTTTTCATAGTAATTTACAAAAAATTACAATTTATAGTAATTTTTGTATAGTTTTTCAATATCTATTTTTTTGTTTAAAATATTGAATTAATGTAATATAATTTAACTTTAAAAATTAATCAATTGACTTTCGAAAAGCGCGGCAGCCGACATGACAATTAAAGTGGACGGAGGGAGTATCTATGAGTATATAATTTATTTCACCATTTATACTAAAGTGGTGGGATACACAATTCTCGAACTAATTTCTACTACTATCAAACCCATAATAAAATAATTTTATAGGATATCAAAGAATACTGCTCTTATCCCACCAACCAAGTACTAGTAATTTATTGTTTGGAGGATTTTTTATCATCAAGTTCTAAAACATATTTTCAGGCTTTTATATGATTTAAGTAAAAAAAATTAAATCGAAGTAAATATTACTTGATACATCATGGAATTTCGAATAAAAAAGTGTTGTTGAAGAAAGAAAAAAAAAATCCCGCGTTTGTTCAAATAAATAAAGAAAAAATAAATCGAAACACCATTAAAATGCTCCTTCAGGAGTCGACGTCTGCAACTATTTGGTGGCTGCAATTTCACGCTATAAATATACAAATTAAACCAATTAATTATCTACTTCGTGGGAAGCCATGGCCATTACAGGGGCACTTCCTTCTTCACCATTTCTGGGCCATGTTCCTTTCCACCTTGTACTTCTTCGTTCTTCTCTTTTCTTGATAATGATATAGTCGGTTTTTACTCGCTTAGATAGGTCGAGTTCATTCAGAATATTTTTGTTTTCATAAAATTAGAAGTTACAAGTCCGATTCTTGGTTGTATAATGGATTTTCAATGATATCTAGGTAGCCTTGCTTTCGTAGAATTAGAAATTCCAAGTCCGATTCTTGGTTCCTTGGTTGAGGGTGTATCAAGAACAAGGGGTTAATGGTTTTCTTGTTTTCTGTTTGTATTGTAGGGGAGTCCTCATCTGGGCACTTTACCCACAATTCACTTTGTATTTTCAATGATATCTAGGTTGAGGGTGTATCAAGAACAAGGGTTAATGGTTTTCTTGTTTTCTGTTTGTATTATAGGGGAAATCTTCATCTACGTACTTTACCCACAATTCAGTTTGTATTTTCAAAGTAAAAGCACTGTTTTGGGGTTCAAGAAGAAGTGTAAAGCCTGCTGACAAGGTTCTTTCGCTTGGGGAATTCACTTTATCTGAGGCGGATTCACTGGTATTTCTTGGATTTCCCTTTCTTTTTCTTGGGTAGTTGAAACATACCACTGACATTATCAAAACAAATCAAGAAAACAATGTCTAGTATTTATATAGTTTCCCTTTTGAAAGTTATGGTAGTTGTAGTGATAGTTTCTTGTGATATTGCTTCAAACGTCATTAGATTTCTCTTTTGTTTTAGGGGGATACAGGAACTCCTGAAAAGATATCTGTTTCTGTGGTTTCCTCAATCTCAGAGGTTTCACCAGATAATTGGGATTCTTGCAGTCTGGATGCCACAGGCCATCAGCAGTTTAATCCCTTTCTCTCACACGGTTTTCTTTCGAGCTTAGAGGAGTCTGGCTCTGCTGTGGAGGTTATCAATTATCACCTTCTACATGAAAATGCTTTCCTTAATGGTTATTTGTTGCATGGTTATTTTTACTGTTTTGTTTATTCATTCCATATCTTTCAATACTATTGTTGGAATAGCTGTGAGCCTAATTCTCATTCGGTGAACTCATAAGAGACCTAGGGAGCAAATTTTGTATCTCTTCTATCATCTATCTTCAGTTTATGCTGCCTCTGTTCTTGTTATGACCTCATTTTGATGGAATAAAAACTTATGTCCTCTCTCAGGGAACTGGCTGGATTCCACAACACATCATTGCTGAGGATGAAAGTAAAAATATTTTAGGTGTTGTTCCTCTCTATCTCAAAAGGTTCAGAATCTGTCAATTCTATATGTGAACTTTATTTTTCTGTTAGATAAGTTTTCTACTCTATGTAATCAACATGCATTGGCTAATTCCTTCTTATCCAAATTTGCAGCCATTCCTATGGTGAATATGTATTCGATAATTCTTGGGCAAATGCCTATTACAATTATGGTTTGAGCTATTATCCAAAGCTGCAATGCTCGGTGCCTTTCACTCCAGTTACTGGCCCAAGGATCTTGGTCCGTAACACTTCACATAGAGATCAAGTCTTTGACATCCTGGTCTCTGCAATGAAGGATTTGGCAGTCAAGGTATGCTTTTCTTTATGTCCAAACACACCTAGTAGTACTTTGGATTTCATAAATACTTTTATGAACTCATCCAGTTGTAAGTCTGTTTCTTTTTTATTTTTATGAATTGTTGCTCACTGGATATGGACGATCCTGCGTATTAAAGCCAATATTTCTGTTATCATTATTTAACGGAATGCATCATTTCTTTTTGTCCGACTTGATAAAGATTTGTGAGTTATAAGAAGCCAAAAGATATGTCTGTTTTTTGGAAGAGATCTTTTAAGTATATGCTACTTTCTAGTGATGTCAATGCTGCCTTTGGTGGTAAGAGCTTACTATACAAGCTCAAAAGGCAATTGAGGAATTTGCAATTCTACCTGTTCCCTATGTGCATGCTAGCAGACAGCTTGATTGAGAACAGAAATGTTAGTGTGGTCAATGAACCGTGTTTGCATGGCTCCTAAAGTTTAGGCACATGACATAAAGTGACCAGTACCATACCAAATTAGAGAAAAAATTGTGATTGGTCTGTTAAAATCTTTAAAATTCTCATTTTGTTGAATTTACTTCTTGAGCGACAAAGCTTATGAATTAGCTCCTCTGTATCTTTCGTCCTAAGATGTTTCCTTCTTTTGGCTTCTTGAATTGTAACAACTGTTGAGTTACATTGTTTAAGGGATTCATAAAGTAATTTGTGCTAAGTGATTACCTGGAGAATCTAGTACATGATTTCATAGTTTGCCATATGGCCCATACGTTTATTAGTAAGATTACATTCTGGAACTCCTTTTTATTTCTGTCAACAACCATAAGTTGGAATACATTAATAATTTCACATGCATATTTTCTTGTATTCTGATGACATTTTACCTTGACAGTTCAACGTTTCATCTCTACATATTACTTTTCCAACTTCAAATGAGTGGCACAAGTTGGAGGAGAAAGGTTTTCTGCAAAGGACCGGAATGCAGTATCATTGGAAAAATCGTAATTATAAAAAGTGAGTATGTAGATCAACTTCTTACTTGAGATAGTTTCTCTGAGACTTAGAAATGGATTCCACATAGTTGTAGCTTGTATTTTATTCTTTTTCTTCTTCTTAATAGGTTATCTTATTTCATTCAGTCATATTACATCCTATCAAACTACAGATTCCGAAGGCTTCATCTCCTGGTTGATTTATGGATGAAGGAGCTTGGTGCTTAATGATAAGGAAGGCCTTATTGGTATTTACTAATTTGGTTGAATGGGGTTCCTTTTAGAACTGGTAGTACCTCTATCACAAAAGCCATGGAAGGAGTTGGCCTCGCTGTCTTAGAGTTGCAGTATCAACCTTGTTCCCAAGGTTTGGATCTCGCATAGGTGACACTAGGTGAATTGTATTCATTTCCTAAACCTTGATAGACAGAGTTACCTTGTTCTTGTCTTGGGGGGAGGTAAAAGGTACCTGGTGAACAAGTCTAGGTGTGCGCAACCTGCCTGAGACACCACCATTAATCTCCAAACAAAGAAAAAGTCAGTAAAGTAATTGAAACTGCTAACATTACCAGTTTTGCTTCATCTGAAGAGCATTAGAAGACCTTTATTTTTTGTCCCCATTTCTATGTGTTCATATTTACCATTACATCATGTTAAGTTGTTAACAAGTATTTGTTTCTTCTTGATTGTTATAAGTTTGTTCTTGCATGTTCAGCTTTGATGAGTTTTTGATGGACATGAAGCAGAGCAAGAGGAAAAACATTCGTCAAGAACGCAAGAAGGTTTGTAAAAGTATTTGTTCTTTTTCCTAGAAATTGCTTGGTCAGTCAAAAGCTCTATAAAGTTTTAAAAAAAGGTTGTACAATGAAAGGTATTTGTATCAAAAGAAAATCTAACTAGACATGCCTTTTGTCACACATGTTCATGCCGAACATTACAAGTTCTCTGCATCAGAAAGCCAAATGACCTGAGGATTTTGGTCCTATATCTTAATTATATCCTATCCTACTGGAAACACGTTTATATATTTGTTTTGTCAATAATAACCTTAGAAAGTTCAAGTGATTATTTCTGGGATGAGGCATTGGGGCATTTGATAGGCCCTTTTAGTTGTTTTATCAGTAGTGAAAGCTTTGAGAAACTTAAAAATGAATGTGGTGTATAATAGTAATTAGACATGCCTTTTGGTTGCACATGCCCGAACATGTATCATAGAGAGTTTGTAAGAATTTATCGCATGACGAAGAACATGCCTGCAGTACTGGAACATATAAAGGTCCTTGCTTCAGAAAACCAAATGACTGGAGGACTTTGGTCCTACTCCAAGACTATATCTAATCCTACTGGGAACATGTTTTTATTGACTCTCTTACAATCAAGAACGAATCTGTTATTGTTGTATAAACAAGGCACTATTATTGTTTATTTACTTTATCCCCCATCTGCAGCGTCACGTTATTGGCATGTTGCATATTGCTGCATTGCCATCTTTTCTTCATCCTTTGTCTCTTATTTCTATCACATCAAGATTTTTCTTAGAGCAGTACAATGTTTCCTTTTAGTTTTGTCATTGACTAAACACTGCTTACCTCCTCGCTCTCTTCTCAATGTCTTCAAATTTGCAAAATGCACATAAGATCTTTTCTTATTTCAGATATCGGCTCAAAACGTGACCATGAAACGCTTAAGAGGACATGAAATCAAGGTGTGTTTTTGCAGCTTTTGACTCTCCATTAAATTAGTTTCTTGAGCATAGGTGACTGTTGGAATAGGGTAACATTTTTGTCGAGGGCAGTAACAACAGTTTATTTGTTGTGATGTATTGCTGCTTGTTCATATAGTACATACATGCTGATGCAAATCTGTATTTCTTGCTTGAGAACTATGTGATATCATAGAGACTGATCAAGGGACCATACCATCCTTGCCATATTAGGATATGATCCTATATGTGGACCTATTTCATGAGTCCTTTCTATTAAGTTGAGCATTGGGTGATGTTTCAACAAAAAAAAACTTGACTGTATTTTGACTGATCCCTTTTCCTTGAACCTATGGTTTTGGCATCCCATGCTAATAACAGAGCTTCGTTCATCATTAAAAGGCAGATTGGCGGTGCTCTTGCTATTGCTTTTGTTTCTCTCTTTTCCTATCAGCGAGTTTAAACCCTTTATTTTCTCCTGAGATTTCTAGTGGATAGGAAAGATTTCTTCCCTAAATTGCTTCCTTTTCTTCTCGGAAGAGTAGACTTAGGTTACAGGAATTTAATACTCAAATCATGTTGGACCACAATAAAAATTCTAAAATTGGAGCTGGCAGAATTTCTTTTAAATTAGTGTGGTACTAATATTCTAACTTTGATAAGTAATGGTTGTGATAGAGTGAAAGATTCAGAATTATGTACTTTTGCTTCAAACTTTGACAGATAAAGTAATGGAGCTATTAGGTGATCATGTCAGATTCAGAGCAATGGTGTTCAACCATAAATAGACTAGTTGTGCAAATACTCAAAAAAGAAAAAAGAATGGATTGGTACCTGATTTATTTAATGTTTATTTATTTTCTACTTATTATCTTTTTGGGGATTAATGACCTGATTGTGATCTACTGTATCCTTTCCCAAAGGATTTAAATATTTTGTGCATATCGTTTATCTCTTTCTTTCCGTGTTGGTCTGGTGCTGCTGAGAACTATTTAAATCTTGTGAACAAGTGAGGTCCTTTACATCTGGACTTTCCTCCACCGAACATCCCCTCAAATTAATTATGGTTTTGACGTGAAACTGATTTCTGGGTTTAAGGCACATGAACCCCGAGTCATGTGCAACTATTATTATTTCCTTGAATTAGATTGAAATTCTCATTTCATGCTTGTCTATTGGTATTTACAGGCCAGTCATTGGGACACATTTTATAAGTTCTACAGAAATACAACCGATAACAAGTAGGAGTTCTTTTCTTTGGACCATAAACCTTTTCTCTTTATCTTAACTAAACTTTAGTCAGCCATATTAGTGTATTTTACAGCTGTATTTTATTACCTGCATTATCTAATCTGATTTCTCTGTCTCTTTAGGTGGGGTACTGCTTATTTAACGAGAGATTTTTTTCATCGTATGGGTGCAAAGATGGGCGACAATGTACTGCTTGTCATTGCGGAAGAAGGTGATGAGCTTGTAGCTGCTGCCCTGAATCTTATTGGAGGAGATACCTTGTATGGACGACTATGGGGATGTCTCCCAGGAACCTACTATGCAAATTTGCATTTTGAAGCATGCTATTACCAGGTATTTTAAACCATCCATTGCTGTCTGCAGGTTTTCTTGACTTATGACAAGAGTGTCCACAGAGATATCTACTTGTGTTTTTCATGGTATAGACTCGTATGTTTTCAAGAATTAGTCTTTAGTGGTTCAGAAGTAAATCAGTCTCCTCTTTGAGACTTTTAGTATTTTCCTGCATGAAATTTCATATCTAAGTTCCCTTGATCTGTTTTTTTCAGGCCATAGACGCGGCAATTGAACTAAATCTTAGCACAGTAGAGGCTGGTGCTCAGGGTGAACACAAAATTCAAAGGGGATATATGCCAGTACCTACCTACAGCTGTCACTATATTCTAGATGAGGATTTTAAGCGAATCATTGATGATTTCTTGGTACGAGAAACAGCTCAGGTGATTATTCTTTCCAATGTTTTGCCTTTTGGATGACTGTTGCCTTTTTCTTGAATATTTCTTTCCTCAAAGGAAAAAGAAAAATTTATGTTCCCATAATAGGTTCCTGTCCTTAAAAGTCAATAGGTTTCAGAATTCTGACTAGTATGTAACCTCATATTATGATGCTAAGTGACCATCTTGGGGACTACATAAAAAACCGTCTGCTGACAATCCCAAGGCAGTGAAAACTCTCCATCAGGGGCATATGAGTCTAGAAATCAATTAGTATTAAACACTAGTTTATTGAGGTTGATGGGTAATGATATGATGATCAATATGCTTATCTCTGGGACAAATAGTTAGTTATTCTCTAACGCCTGGGAATAAATCAGATGAAAGAGTCTGACAACAGGCCTTTTTTTTTTTGAACTTGGTAAGGTTGTATTATATCACAAAGCAAGTACAACCCTTGTACTGAAACCTTATATACAAAAGCCCCAAATTCTTACTGCTCTATGGCTAAATTGAGTCTAAAACATCAATTATAGAGACAATATCATTTGAGTATAACTGATTATACCAAAACATCTAGCCTTTCTTTAATGAAATCTTCCCCATCGGTCTATTTTTGTTGTGTTTCTTCCCCTCCAAAATACTCCACCTGTAGCTTAGTTTAGATTGTCATACAAAAATCTCTAAGCTACACCACACATTTGTATGGGCACTGTAGCTTTCACTTCACTGATCTCTCTATCTTCTTGTATTTTCCTACAGGTTAAACTTGTTATGAATTTATTACAGGATTCTGGTCCCTTCAAGGAGAATGTATGGAATTGATTATGGTGCGCGTTTATAGCTATTCCCTCTTCTAATTCACCAATCAGAGTGACATCTTTTGTTGGCAGAAGTACCCATCCTATGTTTACTGGGGAAATATCTTCTGTTTAAAGCATTTATCATTTTCTAAGAACAGATAAGACCTTTCAACCAATATTCAAAATTGTAAATATCCAAGTAAGCCATGTATAGAAAAGCGAACGATCAATGTTCCTCCTGTATAGTATCATTTTCTTCAATACTTGGTCACAATATTGTTCTGATTATCTTATTTAGGCAAATATTAGATAGATGACAGCACGTCTTCAGGTTATAAATTTCATCTCCTCAAGCGTCTTTTACCATTTTTCAGTATTCTTTCCAGGTTAGGTTACTTGTGACACAATCACCAATTTCAAAGAATTTTCATGTTTAACACTTTAGCTTCTTGTGTTTGATTATAGTTTACGTTAAAGGAAACAGCTAGAGCTATCTTCCACCCTGCTACAACCTGTAGAAACTTGAAGATGATCCAGGACAAGAAGTAACAAACTGCAACCACTCAAAACTCGGGCAAGTGATAAAAAAGGACTATGAGAGGAGAACAACTATAGAACTGTGACAAAAAAAAATTCACTTAAAAACTTTTTTCCTGAAGTTAGATCAATATTTGCCGGAGAAAGGTCAAACCTAAGGATGCAGATGCAATCTTAAAGAATCAAATTAGATTATAAAACCAAAGTATGATCTACCTTTGAAGTGTTTCACCAACTTCACTAAGCAACGTTATCAAAATTTAAGCCCAGCTAAAGCTCAACCAACACTAGAGACAGCTGTCCATGCGCCTAACAAAATTATACATGAAGATTGTCCTGAATTCCTTGCTTTGAAATCAATAAGTAGCAACAGGGTTAGAGGATCGAACAGCAACTGGAAAACTTATTCTTTGATGGTAAATGGAGACCACCACTGGACCAATGGCTGAGATGGTACCTAAAATGTGGAAGCTATGTATACAAAGATCTCGTGACAAAATCCAAGGACATCAAGAGCACAAGAAGAGAGCAGGAACCAAAACCTCCTCAACTACAAAGAATATGAATCGAATGTCTAGGATTTTTGTCCAGAACCAGGAGGTGCAGGTGGCATCCGGCTTGGTGTACGACGACTTCTAGACCCTGCATCACCATTTTGAGGGGCATTTGAAGTACCATCAAATGCAGATCGCCATTCATCACCTGATGACTGCCCACCAGATCTTGAGACGCTTTCTGCAGATGATTATAACTTTAAAAGAAGCAACAAGGCATCAAGGGTAAAAAGAATATTGGTGATAAACTGAGTTTGTTGAAAACCCTTGGCATATAGCCATATACAAATAAGAGAAAGGGGATGAATTGGAAATCGAAGCACAGTGGTTGATAACTTACACTTTGCAGCATTCGTTAATACAAGGTTCCCAAACAGTAAGTTCAAGCTTTCTACGTGATGTTTGAGCTTTTTTCTTATGGTGTGGAATGATGTTTCAACCATGTTATCTTTCATACCAAAAAGAGTCTAAAGTCTTAATACTTCTCTGAATCAACCGCATTTGTTATTTAAAAGCCTACAAGATTAGAAGTCAGCTACGTTAGCTTGCAGTATTAGACTAAGGTTTGTGTACCAGGGTCACTAGACCTATCTTTTACTGAATTGTGGTCCACTGGTCCTGTGGAACTAAAATAACATGTTTCTCGGGGATATCTTAATCATATGCTTCCTTAATTTTATCATGGCTCACTGAAGTTAGTAACGGCAAGTGTCAAACACTTCAAATCCGTGCAACTTATAAAATCTCCTACTAGGTAAATACACCTTAACTCATGATCTAGCCATGGATATCCAACATAGTTCACCAGACGGCAGTCATTCAACTCATATGAGAAAACATGTGTTAGGTCATGGTGAAATACACATTAGAGGAACTCATTTTTCATTTTTATTTATGTGGAGGCAAGTATATTATACCACAGGAGTTTGTTTGTTTTGATAATTTAAGATGTCAACATATTAAATTGCTGGAAAGCAGTCAAAGAATTGAAGGATAAGGCTTCAAGTTAAAGCTATCAAAGGTTTTGCCAAATACCAGCTCCATCACTATCTGAGTAGCTAGACGTAGCAGCTGCTCGATTATCATGAACACTAAGCTGCTGAGTGACCTTAGCAAGAAGAGAGGACTGTTTCTGAAAGTGCTCCCTCCTACGCTTCACATTATGGTCTTCCAGGAGTAGCTCTTCGATTTTTGCTCTACTTTGTGCGCTACAGTCCACATTTTGATACACAGGGGTGCAATCAGAAGATAATAAGAAAGAAACAAAGATAACAAACAAGAAAGAGAGTTTTCTTCAGACAAACAAGGCTGTATGCATAACACTTTCATATGCCATAGATATTCTGGGTTGATCAGCTTCGAGTTAAGTAAAATTTGTGAGATTGATTTTTTATATAAAAAAAGATCCTCTGCATACATATGGTGGTCAAAATCAGAGCTCCTGGAATCCATAATTCCTGAAAGGAAATACAACTGCTGCTAACCTGACAGAACTGTACAACTTATTAAGCATATCTTCTCTGGCCTTCTCTACTTGGCAAAGAACAACTGCCTGAGAACCAGTTATCCCAAGTTAAACAGGGTATGGAGAACAAAAGTGCAGGGAATAACGGTTACACTAAACTGACCTTTGGTACATTAGCAGCAAGACTATTGAGAACAGCTTCAACATAACCACGTACTTCTTGAGCCATCCATCGAAGTTCTTCTTCTGGATCTGCAGGTTTCCTAGTCATCATGTCCTAAATAGAAAACAATCCAAGTATTTTCCATGTAAGATATTTGACAACACAGATTGTGGAAAGAGAATATTCCATAAAATGCTGGTGTACAAATTCAATGGTCTTATCAAGAAGTCAAAATATGAAGAGATTCTTTACAGGTAAGACAAGAAGAATACTCCTGGCACTAAAAAACTTTGTGCAGTAAAATATTTATAAACAATGGCAGTAATCTGGTAAAGTAAACTGAAGAAACTGTTTCTGATGAAGTAAACTGAAGAAACTGTTTATGATGAAGTAAACTGAAGGAACATTTATAGGAAGAACCTGCAAATAAATTAATCTGAGTCTTTAACGAACTGTGTTTTGCTACTTACAGGTGTCCCAGGTGTCCCCTCTGATAAACTTGGCCTCATAGGTTGACTAGACTCAGCAATAACTTGACCTCCTTTAGAACTTATGACACTTTTTAATTTATTTAACCACTCAGTCTTCTCAGCCAAAGATTCTGCCTTCAAAATAACAGTACTTTGGGCTGCAATACAAAAAAAAATTGGTTGTAAAAAATGAAAAAACAAATCATATAATTCCCCTGCAAAAAGAAATTCAGGAATATGCACCACCTTTAAGAATAGTCTTGTATTGAACCCTGTTTGTTAATTTGAACACGAGACTAGGTCCCTTTCCTCCATCAGGCCCAGTTGCCTTCTTATCTTTTGAACTTTTTGATGGTTCGCCTTCTTCAGAAGCCTCTTCAAGATTACATTCCTGAAAGTTTCGCAAAGCATGTTACACGATAAGATAAAGGTCCAACATATCCAGATAATGAATGCTATAGAAATGCAAATATTAAAGTGGATGTGCAGCCAGTCAGTCATACAAGATCACAAATGATCATATTTAACTGAAGGAAGCAAGAAGCACACACAGAAGATAAATTTTATGGCCATATCCCACGTAAATCTCCATTTGAGTTGGTCCATAGGTGCAACACACTATGATAATTGAAGGTGTAAATAGGGATGGGTAGACCCACAATCACACCGAGGGAAATTGTTTCAAAAGATCTACAGTCTCTCAAAATGGATTTAGCTAGAAGCAAATAAATGGAAGCAAAAGATCCATATAAGTGATACCATCTACGTGAAATGAAGGTTTAATTAATGTTAATGAGGATGAGTATGAGATTTAGCGAATTCCAGCTTTAGAGAACCTTTAATTTTACTTAAAAGACAAGTTATTTAGTCTTGGAATAAAATGAGTGTATAGAGTGCTGAAATGAATATAAAGGTTGATTAATTGATGTTACATGATAATCTCTGAAAACTCCATAGCCACTAATTTATATTTCTTCATAGAATTTGACAACGATCAGAACTAAAGCCAAATACAGCTACAACTTCTCCAAGTTGACCCGAAACCCATGTAGAAATGCAGTTATTCACTGTAAGTTTTTAGGAAACAACAAAAGACAGAATGCTGATACTGAACTAACTAAGTTGAGAGTCCACACAAACTAAGCAATATTGCACGTACAAAACCCAGGGATAACCAGGACCAAATCAATAATAAGATGAGGTTATTATCCATATATCAACAACCTAAAAGACTACGACAAACCAAGTCATCAACAAAAAATTGTACGCGTTCCCCAGAATCTAAACACGAAAAGCAAACGACTATCTACTTTCTTTTCAGATTCTTCCTTTGAGTGGGATCACTTGATAACTCTAACACCAGGGGTCATGAGTTTCAATACAATATTTCTTGATTCTCTTGAACATCATGAACACGGACAATTATACAACAAAATATTCAATCTTGAAATGTAGAGATTATAGTAAATAATATATACAATTTCCATAAAGAAAAGCACAGAGATGTATATAGAATTATGATAACTGGGGCATCATCAGGCTAATAGGTCAGAAGATTTTGAATCATAAGCTTGAGAATTGTGAAGTTCAATGTTTAGGCCTTGAATTTTCAAAAATCTGACTTAAAAAGAGATACCTAGACTCTATGACCAAGATCAATCAACTCTTCAAAAAAAAAAAAAAAACCAATGTGCTCGTAGGACTTGATGGTAAGAGGGTGGAACCCTAAATGTTACTCCTATAGGCTGTAGCTCTAGAGGTGGCTCATCTCATTTTCTAGACTTTGATATGCCATGTGACTCTTGCAATATTTGATTTGCACATGATGTGGTTCCTAGATCTAACATAACCCTACATCCGATGCACAAAAACCTTTGTAAAGTTATTTTTTCTTTTTTTCCCTACTTTTTTCTGACAACTTAAAGACAACCTTTTCTGTGGTATAAGAGAACATGAAATTAATAAAAAATCCTTCAGTGATGTAAACAACCATGAAACATAATATGCCCCAAAAGTTTAGAGCAAGAGCTGCGTAAAATCTGTACTGGTCGA